ATAATATATAATATATTTATAGATATGTAATATATATATATTTATATATATATATAATAATAAATATAATATAATGATTGAGTTTGAGATTTGATGGATGTTAAAAGCAATTTCAAATCCGATGCATTCAACACCCCATCAAGGGTGGCATTAGCACTCCCCTTTTTGACCATCACTAATCAGGCGTTTCTCGTTATCACCGGATGACGACGGGAGCCACCGGCGGCCATGGATGTAACATGAACCTAAAACTTCTCAGGTTATTTTTCTTTTCCATCTTTACTCACACCAATTCGTTAACTAAAACTGATCATTATATGGTGATTTTGCATTTATTGAATCAAGCCCTAATCGAACTCTGCTCATTGCCATAATATGATCCAGATGAGATCTAGAAACCGAATACAGCTAATCACAGTTAATAAACAAGTCTAATCAATATCTCAAAACAATATATTCTTCTTTAATTTACAAATCCCTTTCTAAACCGTCGTGGTTTACCGCCGGCAAGCTCAGTTTCCGCCTTGAATTTTGACGAGATTAGAGTACGCTCCACCGCGTACGGTGAGCAGATCGGAATGTGAACCTTGCTCCGCCACCTTCCCATCTTGAATCACGGCGATGGAATCGGATCTTTTTATGGTGGTGAGACGGTGAGCCACCACGATACATGTCCTTCCGTTCATCATCTTCTCTAGCGCTTCTTGAACCAGGCTCTCGGAGACTGTATCGAGAGCACTGGTTGCCTCGTCGAGCAATAGGATGCTTGGGTTCTTGAGCATGGCTCGGGCCAATGCGATTCTTTGTTTCTGACCTCCGGAAAGCTGCACCCCCCTTTCTCCACAGTATGTTTCATAACCATCTTTCATTCCACTGCCGAACACAAGTTATATCAGGTTAGATCAGTACCAAATAAACTTGGCTTTTTGTATAAAACTTTCTGAGAAACGTACTAAATAAGCCACTTTCTATATCATTAAGTCACTACCATACATTCATGTATACCTTACCGAATAAGTTGCGAGTCTCATTAAGCTGCTAACAACCATGCCCTTATTGTTCTAGAATAACTAATATGACACTTTATTTCAAAAGTGTTAAGTTAAAAAACTTGTTAGGATGTCCAAAAACGTCTTATCAACTTATCGTAATACATTTACAGAGGACGCATATGGTTTTATAAACTTAAGTCCTGTAAAGAAGTCTATTAGGACATTTAGACATCTTTGGCGTCATATCAAAACTAATTTTGTTGGAGTGGCCTATGGTGTTAAAATACGTGGAACTCATTGAATCTTTCTCCAAAAGAGCCCTTACGAAGGTTCCTACACATATATGTAGACTTGGGATCACGTGAGACCAGCCTGTTTTCATAAGACCCGTGAGACCAACTTTTTACACTTGAAACTTCACAGCAAAATGCTGTGAAGTGAAGGTAACCTTCACAGTGTTTTTGCTGTGAAGGTTCGACTTTTTTAAACCTTCACAGTGTTTTTGTTGTGAAGTTTCAAGTGTAAAAATGTGGTCTCACGGGTCTCACGAAAACAGCATGGTCTCACGTGAACCCAACCCCATATATGTATGTATGTATATATGTATAGACCTGGGATCATGTGAGACCAATCTGTTTTCATAAGACGTGTGAGACCATAAAGTTACATTAAACCTTCACAACAAAACATTGTGAAGGTAGAAAAAACACAGAACTTTCACAGCTCCAATATGATTTTAGGTCTTCACATCTGGTCTCACGGGTCTTACGGAAACAGGTTAGTCTCACAAGAACGTGATCATATATATATATATATATATATATATCTTGAAAAAAGGAGCAAATATCATGAATTTTAATACCTTATGAACTCGTGAGCATTTGCAAGCATCGCAGCCTTCCTGATCTCGGATTCTTTAGCACCTGGTTTCCCGTAGCCAATGTTTTCATGGATGGTTCCTGCAAAAAGAGTTGGCTCTTGACTCACTAACGCGATATGCGATCTCAAAGCTCGCAAGTTATAGTCTTTTATATCTCGTTCATCGATAAACACCGCCCCTTTCAACGGATCGTAAAACCTCTCGATCAGCCCAATGATGGTCGATTTACCCGACCCACTCGGACCAACAAGCGCCACTGATGTTCCTTGCCGTATTTTGAGGTTTAGTCCTTTGAAAACCATCTGGTCTGGTCTTGACGGATAAGCGAAAAACACGTTTTTAAGCTCTACACGACCCCGTAACGTCCCTTTGATTGAATCACGACCCCATGAAGTATCGGGATCGATTTCGGTATTCTTGTCGAGAATCGCGAATACAGAACCGACCGCGTTGCTTCCTCTCGAGATATCTTTAGTCATGCTTCCTGCATCGGCTATTGTGTATGCGGTGAATAGCAAAACCAGAAAAGCTTGAAAAAGCTTTTCTGGTGCTATTGACCCTTGGGTCAATAGTCGGCCGCCGTACCAATATGCCAAGGCCGTTGAAGCTGCCGCTAGAAACTGCGAGCTAAACAGGCCAATGCCGGAAAAGTACGACTGTCGGATACTCTCCTTTCTCGGACCTTCTAATGTATCCTTAAAGAGTCCAACTATCCGTTTTTGAGACGAGAATGCCGTTATCGTTCTATGGTTAATGACGGCTTCACTCGCGAGCTGACTTCCTTCTTTTTGGGCTTTTTGCGTTTTTTCGGACAAACTCTTCATTAAAGCGCTTCTAGCGTAGAAGCTTCCAATGAGGAGCGGTTGTGCCGCCATCAACACGAGGGCTAGCCGCCACGAGAGTACTAGTCCTAGTACATAAGCGAACACAGCCCCAAAAAACGCTTGAGTTAGCAGCGATAGGCGGTCTCCAACAAGGGATCGTACCATGTTGGCTTCGGTTGACAGACGTGCGCAGATAGCCGCACTCGTGTTCTCATCTTGATCGTACCATCCGATCTCGAAAGTCAAGAGCTTTTCAAGTAGTTTCTCCCGTATTCTCGTGGTTAACTTTTCTCCCATCACCGCGAAGTTATAGTGTTGGATGACACTAGCGAAGAAGTTAAAAACCCCGAGCCCTAAGAAGACGAACGAGTAAATTCTTGCATGGCTCACGATCGTAGATTTGTCGGTCCGGAAGTAGACGTTAATCAAGCCACCTACACAGTATGCGTTGATGGGTTGTACTGCACCCGAGCCGATAGCTCCTATGCATCCCGATAAGGCTTTCCCCCACTCGGGTGCATTCATTTTCAATAACCGTAACTGGGAAGGAGCTTGGCGAGATGGTTTATTTAAATAATCGTCATCATCGCTTTCGTAAGAAGCGTCAAATTGGACCGAGTACGGTGCACTTAGGGAGAACGCTGGGCTAAATGGGTTCAGTGACGGTGTGCCCGGTGCACTTGATCTTGCACTCACTGGACTCGGTGCGACCATCGGTCTATGGCGACTAGTGTGATTACTAGATCGCTCGATGACTTCATTTTGTGGGTCCGATTGCTGTAACCACACCATTTTGAAGTAATCCCCGCCATTCTTTTGCATTAGGTGATCGTGTGTACCCGATTCAACGACCTTCCCTGACTGAAGAACGTAAATCAGGTTAGCGCGTCGAATTGTTGAGAGGCGATGTGCGATTACAATAGTGGTCCTCCCGACTGAGGCTTGATCTATGGCCTCTTGCACGACTTGTTCGGATAGCGAGTCGAGCGCACTTGTAGCTTCATCAAGGAGCAAAATCTTCGGATCTCTTATCAAAGCACGAGCGATTGCAATTCGCTGCTTTTGCCCGCCCGATAGTTGAAATCCAAATTGCCCGACCTGTAAAAACAAGTAACGCAAGATTATTAACATAACTTCCATTTTACCGGAACCAACCCTATATATTTAGAGAGAGAAGTTCAGAGGAAAACCCCAAAAAATGAAAAACTGAGAAACACCCTGATAATAATTTATTTGTACGGTATGCACTACATACAAGTAATTGAAGATGTTTTTTGGATTCTATGCACGTGTGTATATCGTACAGATTATTTGTATGCACATATGCATACCCGTACGCAGATGAATAGATTCTAAGATGTTTATTAGTTTTTTCATTTTTTACGGTTTTCCCAGAACGTTCCTAAATATAATATGTAAATATTTAAGAATCGACTTTTGAGGTCAAACAATTATTGAAAACATTGATTTAACCGGACAACTGAGAACCGTAAATATTTTGAGAACCAGAAGAAAACCAACTATTCATGATGAATATCTTGAATGACGAAAGTCACGATATTTCTTGATGAATAATATTATATGGTTATTCATTATGAATAACTTATGAAATCATTGGTTCGAGGTTCTCAAAATATTCACCGTTCTCGTTTAAAACCGGTTCGATCGACTTACATTCGTTTCGTACCCATCGGGCAACTTAGCAATGAATTCATGTGCATTTGCACCTTTGGCAGCTGCAACAACATCATCCATGGAAGCTCCTTCTTTCCCAAACAATATGTTCTCTCTGATAGATGTTGCAAAGAGAATTGGCTCTTGATTAACCAGACCCATTTGGGATCTTAACCATTTGAGATGAAGTTTCTTGATCTTGTATCCATCCAAGAAGATTTCACCTTCGATCGGATCATAAAACCGTTGGATTAGCGCGACAATGGTTGATTTGCCCGAACCACTTCCTCCAACCAAACCCACGGTCTTACCGGCTGGTACGCTTAGGTTCAACCCCTGTAGAATTGTGGTGTCGGGTCTCGATGGGTAGCTAAAGTAGATACCTTTGAACTCAATTTCACCTCTTACGTACGACAACGCCTTTCCTTTCTTGTCTTCGGAGTCTATTGTCGGGTTTCTGTTGATCATCTCGTTGATTCGAGTAGCAGCTCCTTGCGACTCCGTAATGGCGGTGAGATTTGGAAGCGTCGTCAAGATATTCCTGTAAGATTCAAAAGACTCCTGAGATCTACGCTCCGAAACTATCACTACAACAAAATCGGGTTTATAGGATACTCCCAAATTCTAAGTGTCCTAATAGACCTCTTTATAGGACTTAGTTTATAGGACCAAAAAAATAAAGTGTTTTATCTAAAGGCGTTGTAATAAGTTTATATGATGTTTTTTGACGTCGTAATAAGTTTTTTAGGACACTTTTAATATAAAGTGTCTCATTCTCAACTTTATAGGACACTTTCTTGGTCCTATAAATTAGCCATTTTGTAGGACAATTTTGAGTAATGTCCTATAAACTCGTCTTTTTATAAGACACTTGTGTTTATAAAATATTTTTTTTCCAACAATATCCTATAAAATGACTAATATGACACTTTATTTAAAAAGTGTCCTACAAAAAACTTGTTGAAACAATTACAAACGTCCTATAAACCTATTGTAGCACTTTTAGATATGACGTTTTATATCATAAAAACCCGATTTTGTTGCGGTGATTAGAACGGGGTGTCCTAAAGACCCATTTTGTTGTAACGATACCCATACGAGAACAAAAGAAAAAAACTTACAATCCTCCCATAAGCACATTGAATCCGGCTACGAAAACATCCCCACCCTTTTCACCATGTTTGCTAACAAGAAGCGATCCGACCCAAGCCTGAAAAGCCCAACTAACGTAGATCGTTCCCATGCTTCCAAGCATCAATCCTCGAGCGAGACCTTGCTTTATTCCTAGTTCCGTGGTCGTTTTAAGCGCTTTGCTGAACTTATCGATCGTTTGACTCTCTCCGACATACGAATACACGGTTCTTATGGAGGAAATCGCTTGTTCTGCAATACTACCCGCGGCACCATATGATGCAACCATTGCCATTGCTACGTCCATCATGTGCTTACCGAATCCAAGGGCCGGAACAAGGAAGACGACGGAGAAGGGCAGCGCTGCCAACGTAAGTCGCCACGATAGCGTAAACGCGAATATGTGGCAAAAGAAGAAGGATGACATGTAGGCAAGACAATTTGGTATCTGTGTTTAGAAATGAATTATACTCTGGTTAGACCAGGCAAGAGGTTGCAACATATATAGAGGAGAAATAGACTATGTCTGTTTAGCTTATGTAAGATTCCAATACGACGCTTTATTTTAAAAGTGCCTTAAAATTTTGTAAGACGCCCAAAAAACGTCTTATAAACCTATTGCAACATTTTTAGATAGAACACTTTATTGTTTGGTCCTATAAACTTATGACATATAAAACAGTATATTAGAACATTTAGATAATTTTGACGTCCTATAAACCCAATTTTGTTGTAGTGTTAGATTAGTCTCTAAAAAGAGTAATTGATGAGAGAGAGAGAGAGAGAGAGAGAGGAGGTTTTAACTTTTAGAGTATATAAAGAATAAAAGAACAGTGTCTAACAGATGTGGGACCCCTGATACTGAATACTTGTTTATGTATCAACGAAATTAAAAAGGAGTAATAGGTTAGCGAAGACGAAAACCTTCTCGCCGATGGTGACTTGGATTGTGTTGGAATCAGCGGAGATGGTCGAAACAACTTGGTACGTTGTGGAGGATCCCGCTTCTTGGGTATCGAAGAAACCAACGTCTTGTTTAAGGACGGATTTCAGATACTCCAATCTCATTCTAGAAGTTTGTCTCTCGGCCGTCCTAGCCCAACAAAGTCCTTCTGCAATCACAAAAAGTGAAATTACTGTTAGAATATGTGGAACCCCTTTTATATTCTCTATAAAAAAAAGCCCTTGTGGAGATTACAGGTTTGATGATGGTTTTGTCTAGCTGATATGAGTATCCAACACATTAACGATATAAATCCTTAAAACACGAAACTCTTTGACGAAATCAACTTACCAACAAAAGCCGATACTCCGACTAATATTGCAACATAGAGCAACCGGAGAGAATACTGAAACCGAAAGAAAGACTTCTATCAAGAAGGACACAAGAAATGCTACGAAAACACGAAGAAATGAAGTGACGGAATCATCAATTACCTTATCGACAAGGGAATTAGAGATGACGGCATTCGGATTCCCGTACTCGTTAATGACATCGCTAAGAACGTACATCATTAACGGAATCTGCAACCCATCTCCGATGCTCCCTAACGTCCCCCAAAACATTAGAAACTTGTCGTACCTCTCGGCATACCTAAACATTCCGTCCTTTTTATCTTTACCAGTCTCCTCCATGATCTCCTATTCCGATTCCGCCTTCTACCGGAATGAGTGAGTTAATACAAAGGTTGAGTCGTAACACTTGGATGTTAAATAACCAAATGTCACTTGCTTATGCAGGATGGCATCTTTGATTCCGTCCTCTTTTAAGTGAAATTTACAGAAGAAGTTAAAACCGGCCAACGGTTGAATTGGTTCTTGGCAATTGGAATCAATAATTCCGGCCACCATCGTCGATTGCTACGTATCTATTTTCTTAAATCCTTTTCTCCCAAAAACAAGTACGAACTTATGCACTTGTCTTTTTATTTGAAACATGTTTATGAAGTTGTCGTCTTGTATTTTCGGATCTTGTCTCGACTTCGAATTCGAATCCGAATCGTGGGTCGATAAATTACTACGAATGCAACGAAGATGCTATTTTTTTCAACACGGTTTTCTTGGATGTTTCGAAAAACATGAAAAATTTCGTGGTCTTGCTCTTTGGATTGTCGATCAGACACTAAGATGTGATTCGTAAGCGTTTACCGGATATCACTTATCTTTTTAGGTGAGCATGACAAGGATCGAGAATCTTGCTCGGTAGGTGGGGGAGAAGACTTTTACCCGGTAAAAGATGTTTACCAAAAATCTATCTTATTAGGTAACGATGATAAGTACTTACCCGGTAAACTTTTGGTAAAAGATCCTTTAGGGTCTGTTTGTTAGCAGCTTAATAATCTTAATGAGACTCACAATTTAATTGTATACATGACTGTTTGATAGTGACTTAATGATATAGGAAGTTGTTTATTCGACAAACTTTTAGAATGAAGCTTTATGCAGAAAGCCAAGTTTTTTCTAACATACCTCTCCCAATTAAAAACCACGCTCCTTCCATTAATTAAAAAAACTCTCCAAACAAAAAGTTTATATTAATTTATACGGACAATTTTATCTGTACAAGACTTAATAAAAAACCAACCAAACAACATATAATCATAACTAATGAATGAATGATATATGTGTGAATAGTTATTTCTATTCATACGGCAAAGTGAGCAAATGGTTTGTTTCTATTATAAAGATGTTAAATGCTAAGTTGATGGTATCCTAATCATCATTCTCTTGACCAACCCCACAAAACGTAAACATGCCAAATGGCATCAAACAAACATATATATATATAGACAATATCAAATGTTAACCAAAGTTTTTGTATTAATTTTGTAAACCATGTCAACTAATCACAATTCATTCTTTTATTAGGTATCTATCATGTTCACAATTTAATGCTAAAGGTAATTGAGTCATTTCATTTGCTATGTAACTCTCATACCATTAAAGAGGAGTTATAAAATCTTAAAATTCCTAAAAATATATATTTATAATATTGATATTTTTATTTATTTTTTTATTCTTGATCTTTCATTTTTATTGTTTTATGAGTTTTTGATTCGTGGAGGAAACACGGTAGTAAAATCTTCGGTATCGTTCAAGCTATTATGGATAAACACATTGAAAAAAAAATCGACAACATTGAGAAGATTAAATGGTTTATGGTGACAATCGGAGTCCGAGTTCGGGAAGTGAAGAAATTAACCAAAGCGAATGTCTTGGTAATGGATTAATATTTTATTAAACTCGTTTTAATCGAAATTATGTTTATTATGATGTGTTGTGTTTCTTGTAGTTCATATTGTGTTGATAACTTTTTTTCTTTAATTATTAATACGTATCTAATTCACATGTTCAAATGGAAGTACATGCACGACTCATTTTCATATCGTGTTCATACATGTTTTTTATTTATTTCTTTTCGTATATCAGTTATTCTTATTATGTTTATATTGTGTTCATAAATGATATGCAGCCAAAGTTCATATATATGTCGATTTTTTGTTCGTATTTGACACAATGGTTCATATGTATATAGTTGTGTTCATATGGTTTTACATTAACAAAAATCATAGAATTTTTTGATTTTATAACTCCCAATTAATGATATGGGAGTTACATAAAAAAATTACATAAATATCTTTTTCAACTTTGTTTACTTATCTTTATGAAATTTTAAAATTAAAAAAAAAGTTTTTATCATGATTAATCACAACCGTTTATTGAAAGATTGAATGACCAAGATCGGTTAACAAAGTTAACAGAAAAACTTTGGTTAACATTTGATCTTGTCCCTGGATGATAGATCTTTTACAAACTCAACTACTTGTACAAACCATATAAACCAATTAAATGAGATATTTATAGAAATGAAAAGAGTTTATTTATTATGATTTGGATGTTAATGGAAGATTATCAAAGTTCATTTATCATGATTAATGTTTTATATTATGAAACAATCTAGATGTTTACTGAATCAAATATTCATTAGACTAGATGAGCGGTTAAGATTGATTTATATGATTTGTACTAATGGTTAGATTTATAAATGAAGGCGAAGAATCATGTGAGAAGGAGAGTTAATGTGAAAAGCGTAAGAAGCGATTTGGACCCTTGATCATCTTTAATCTCAAATCCACTCATGAATTAAACCACACTTGATACGGGGGTGAGAATGAGAGTTAAGGTAAGAAGCGTAAGAATAGATCTTCACTTTTGGATGCACATTAGGATGAGATTCACCGAGATGTACCAGATGAATCCCCGCATAAAGCGTGATTCATATGTGGATTTGAGAATAAATGTGATCAAGGGTCAAATTCCTTCTTACACTTCTCATCTTAACTCCTATTCTTACACAATTATTCGTCTATATATATAATTATATTAGGCGAAAGATCGTGTGAGAATGAGATTTAAAGTGAGAAGCGTAAGAAAAGATCTAGACCATTGATCAGTTTAATTAGTGTTGAACTAATGGTTCAGATTAAATTCCAAAATAACCATGGATTAGCTTTGAAGTGTATTTTTAATTTCAATTAATCTTCAATTATTATTGATCTAAGAGTGAACATCCTTTCTACCTAAAACCAACTCTACATACACAGGTGTGTGTGTGTGTATATATACACACATAATAAATTTTATACCATAGAAAAGATTAAAATTTGAAATTGTATGCTTTTTTTTTTCTTTTTGATTAACCTGGATATCCAACACGCTATGCGAGCCGACTAATCTTAGGGTGATCACCTGCTTTGTGGGTAGTTCGGAGTTACCGCATTTGAACCCATGGCCACAAGGGGATTTTTGTTCTTTATTGGATTTGAACCTGGGACCAGACATTTTTGACCTTTGGATTTCGAGCTCAAATCAATCATGCATCACCCTATCGTTTATGCTTTCTTAATCCTCCTGCTACCAGATAATAATAATAATAATAATAATAATGAAATTTAGCAATAATTTGGGTTGATATATGTCACTTATATAAGTTTCGTTTTCTTACCAACCATATTTTGTTTTAATCTTCAACCTTTTTCTACAACCGTCAAAACGGTCAATAATATCAGTACGAAGTCGTATTTAACTCATCTTCCGACTCCAATTGCAGTTAGAGGGGCCATGACACGAGGAAACGTGACAATATAAACGTTATTTTTAACTTTTTGAAGTTACATAAACTATGTTCATCTGGAGTTAAAACATTTGTATCAACAATCTAAAAAAATTACACTGGTTTTAAGTTACAAAACAGTAGTTTTGACATAATCTGGGATCTGGTTCACTTGATTATAGATATACGATAATTACAGGCAGAATATAATATCAAGTTATGGTCTACTCATTTGGGTATCGTTTTCAAGTTCAAATCCAAGACCATTGGCATGAAAACGACACTTTGGCCGGCAACACCACAAGTATTTATCGATTACAATAATGGGAAAAGATATTAGGTGATAATTATTGAGTATTATTTACAGTCATTTTCAATATCAAACGAGATATCATAGCACTGTAGAGAAGGATGTTCGATAAATTGGATCAACATGCGCTGGATCTCGTGGTCTTTTTCTTGTAGGTCCTTTGGTAAATATGTGACGGGATTTTAACCTTTCAATAGATTTGTCTTTGATGACAGAGTAAGTATTAGTTTAAAGAAATTAGTTTTAACAGTTAAATCGTTGCATTATGTTTGCATATCAACTCCTTAGTTCAATTTGTAACGAAAACGTTGTTACTAGGAAATGAGATAGATTGTTCCAAAGATGTGCTTTGGTGCCGAGCTCGATATTTAAACCTTGAGCAAAAGAAAGGACCAGGCTTTTTTAGGTGGGAATTGAGAAAGGGTCCGATTGGATTTTTTCAGATTGGACTTTTCGGAATTAACCGGGCTTTTTCCAGGTTGGGCTTTTTACTGAACTAGGTCTACGGCTAGGATCAGGACAGGTCTAGGTTGAGCTTCGATCATTGACTTTTTTGTGCATCTCTATTTAATACTATATATATATATATATATATATATATATATATATATACATTTTTTATAGACATGGATCACAAATAGCTAATTTATGTCATATTGTCATGTTAGATAAGACGGCCCAAATCCTAAAGAAGGTTGCAAGGCCCGGTCCAGGGTTCAAAAATGGATACGTTCCCACGTAATGTATCGTGATATATCTCGATTTTAAAGTTTCGTTTTTATTTTTTGTTTTAGGCCAGTCTTTATCTTGTCAGCTCCAAGCGCTGGTTCAGACCTTTTAAACTGTGTTGATCAGACTTTGGCAAAACCAAATCAAGACCTCCGGTGTGCAACTTAATTCGATTAAAACACATTTTTGCCCCTGATCATGACACTTGACATCTTTTTATTACCAATTTTGGAAAAATAATTTGTTAAGAGATTCAAAAATAAAAAATAAGGTCTAATTATTGATTGTGGTTTTGTTTTGTTTTGCTTTAATAAGAATTTTACTTGTAAAACTCATTACAAAAAATTCACCTCATTTATCATCCATATTGTTATATATATATATATATATATATATATATATATATATATATATGGAGAGAACGCTTAATCAAATGTTAATACAAATTATTGTGTTAACTTTATAAAC